AAGGAAGGAAGGAAGGAAGGAAGGAAGGAAGGATGGGAAACAGGGTATGGTAGGAGGATGAGTAAAAATGCTCTAAAATACATTATGCTGACCCGAAGTTCACCCTGAGATTCATTACCATCCCATTCTACATCTCCCTACTTAATTCCTGACCCACAGGATTATCTCCTGCTGCCAGCCTTCAGCCCACACTCAAGCCAGGTCATAGGAGAGTTAAAGGAATATGAACTCTCCCAGCACTGGAATCCCACCCTGAATACTTGAAGGAAGATGTTCTTATTCATTATCTAAACTCCTCCTTTGTATTTCCTGACCCACCGGAGACTCTCTCATCCTTCATTTATATAAAAAGTTGTTTGACCTGTCACATCTCCCTTCCTATACTCTGGCCAAGAATGAGGTCCATAGCTCAGTGGTATCTTAGCTCTTTCCATTATTCCTAGAAGGATAAGAAGACCAGGTCTGAGAATAGAAACTCTTATTTTATCCATTCATAACATGCTTTAAAGTCAGTTATGAGTTTATCTGTCATAAAAGTCAACTTGTTTATGAATATATAAAGATATGAATGTTTGTCTATAGGTATTATGTGCACCATACAAGCACAGTGCCCACAGAAGCCAGAAGAGGGCATCTGATGCCCTGGAACTAGAGTTACAGACAGTAGTGAACTGCCATATAGGTGCTGAGAACTAAGTCTGTGCTCTCTGCAAGAGCATCCAGTGGTCTTAAGAACTGAGCTATCTCCACAGACCGAAAGTGCCTTCTTTACCAACTCAGAGCTTCACCTATGATGTCTTTGAAATTCTCAGTTTCTATGTCAGTAGAGTAGCTAACTGTCTTCCCAAAGACCCAGAGTTTGCCTGTTTTTGTGCTTATGGATCTGGTGACAATCTGGTAGCATCAGCTTCTTAGTTATGTTTAGTTAGCAGGCACATTTCTCCAGAGTCTCCTCAGTGAATTTAGCTGGCACATCCTTTGTTTAAACCTTAAAACCTCTGTAACTGAGAAGAGACAAAAAACAGACTGCTATAACTTGTAAGTGTTCAGAAGAATGTTAATATATGAAAACATTAGTGTGCTACCAGGAATCTAAGCACAGACCCTTACAGAATAGTTGTGTTGGCTTTTTCTTACTTTGTGAGCATTATTATTATTATTATTATTATTATTATTATTATTATTATTTACTTATTGTTATTATTATTGTTTGATTAATCAAATTTGTTCCCTGACATTTTTAAACATGTTTATAATGCATACTGATCGCTCTTACCCCTACATTCCCTGATTTCACTGCCACCCATGTCAACTCATCCACTTCATATGAATCTCTTTTCCATACTCATTTATTTGTTTTGGTGAGTGGCCCAAAGACTTTAAGCAGGGCTGTCCAAGTGTCCAGGAGTTTGAAGCTATCCACTGAGCATGGTGAGCTCAGCAATGGGCACAAATCTAAAGACTTCCTCTCCCAGAACTTATCAAAATAGTTCAGCAATGAAGCATTGCATCTTAAAAGCCCCTCCCCCATCAGCCATTGATTATTGACAGGGCTGATCTTGTACATGTTCAGTGAAACTAAATACATCTGCTATGAGTTTGTAAATCAATGGCTGTCCTGGGCTTTGGAGGATAACATTTACAGACATTCTCCCATCTTCCAGCTCTTACATTCTTCCTGCCCCTTTTTCTCAGTTTTCTCTGAACCTTACAGGGGGTGGCACAAATGTCTTCCTTGGTGCTGGTCTATAAATCATCATTTATGCTCAGTATCTTCGGCAGCCATGAGACTGTGCATTCACTACCACTGGCTGCAGAGAGGCTTCTCTGATTAAGGCTGAGAAAATTGCTTTGGTTTACAGAAATAAACACAGATATTTAGAAGGCAGTTTGATGCCATGTCAATGAATTAAACAATAGCAGTATAAGTTCCTCCCTCATACCTATGAACTTGCCAGTAATGGGAAATTGAATGTGTTTACAATACCAGGCATGGATTCCTTCCTGTGCAGCAGGCCTCAAGTGTAACTGAAAGGCTTAAATGTGGTGGTATTGTGTTCCCCAAAATATTGTGCATGCTAATAAACTTACCTGGGGTCAGAGAACAGAAAAGTCACAATATTAAACGTAGAGGATAGGCAGTGGTAGCACATGCCTTTAATCCTAGCATTCCATAGACAGAAATCCCTCTGGATCTCTGTGAGTTCAAGGCTACATTGGAAACAGCCAGGAATGGTAACACATGCCTTTAATATCAAAAAGTGAGCCTTTAGTCCCAGGGAGTGATGGCAAAAACAAGAAGATATATAAGGCATGAAGACCAGAAACTAGAAGCATTTGACTGGTTAAACTTTCAGGCTTCTAGCAGCAGTTCAGCTGAGATACATTCTGGATGAGGACTCAGAGGCTTCCAGTCTGAGGAAACAGGATGAGCTGAGGAATTGGCAAGGTGAGGTAGCTGTGGCTTGTTCTGCTTCTCTGATCT